GTTTTATGAACTACGATAATATTTCACGATTCTTCGTTTCACTCGTATTTCTTATCATGTGTTAGCTCGACGTAATAACGCGTTTCCGCTGAAGAGTGTGACGAACGGACACTTTAAACCGCCCACCATGTTTACTCAATTCTCACAGAAGCAGAGAAGAAGCCGCGCCGCTTCTTACGCCGTAAATGGCGTAATCGCGCGACTTGCCACGCCGCGTATTAAGCGTAATTGAAATTATCTCCTAACTAAAAATTGTCGTTAATTAACAAACCGCGCTTGTTACTGCTTTCGTTGATCTATTTTTGTTGATCGCAGTTGCAGATTGTTTTCGCGGAGCATACTTTCTTCAATTCTCTTTTTTTAAATCTTTTTGTTAATTAAATCTGATAATTGATAGGCGAATTTAAACTCAGCCGACATTTACAGCCTAAATCTGAATTTAGACAGAAAGAGAATTCTATTGCAATTATTGATATTTTTTTGAAACTGTTCTTTCAATTTTAATTGCTCGTGATTGTGGAATAATCTCAACGCGAGTTTCAAATAATAATAATAACAATTGCTCTCTATTTTAAATGTTATATATTAATTATTAATAGAAGAATTGTCATGTAATTATTTATTGCTATTATTATTACTTCAGACTGATAACGAAAAAGTGAATTTTTTAAATCTACTAAACAGAAATGTTAATCTTTTCTATCAACTTTATTCAAATATTCCTTATTTCTTTGCGCATGTGCAGAAAAACTTTAATCGAATCCTGCGGCCAACTTCACAGCTATTCTACGGCCGCCAATTGTTAAAAGAGGCTTGAATCTTTTTATTTGAATATAATTCCTTGTCAAACGTAAAACGATGATTTTTTGATAAAAAATTGTTCAAATAACGCGTTCAAAATCGTATCCGCGCAAAAATGAATAAAACCTGAGCGTTCATTAAAAGAAAAAGAGATCATAATTTCGTAATAGCTCAGCGGATATTTTTGGATTGATCGATAAAAAGAACAGGCTTCACCGGGTAAACCGGGTTCTACGTTCTACGAGAGAGCGACACACAACAACATGGCGCCTGTTACGGAGGATACCGCGGACTTTCAGAGGGAGATTATCGAGAGAATCAGCAAGAATGAGGTGTGCGAGCTCAAGACGTTGCTGTCGCAGAGGAAGATTAAGATTGATTTTGTCGATGTGAACCGCATGAGCCCGCTCCAGCACGCCTGTTACAAGGGAAACATGGAAATCGTGCAGCTCCTCCTCGATCAAGTAGGTTATGTTGACTGTGCTGATGCTCTTCACGCCAACAGAGTTTACGCCTCAAGATTAATCTGTTATAAATTTAAGTACGCCCAAACGATTATTCATATGATTCCCTCGTGATAGATTCGCGTCTCTTGCTTACGAAGAATTTATTTTACCTATAACAATTATCTGTGATATTCGATATCATGTTTGTTGAGTGACGTCTGAAAAATTAGCATAGTTAACGCGTATGAGAATTGTCTATTTGTTTTCCAGGGTGCTGACGTGAACATGTGTCGACACGAACACGGTTATACCGCTCTTCATTTCGCCGCTTTGAGCGGAAACGCCGAGCTATGTCACCTCCTGATGTCGCACGGAGCACGCTTGGCAGCGATGAACAGCGTGGGCCGAACGGCCGCGCAGATGGCGGCGTTTGTTGGAAATCACAACTGCGTGGCGACAATCAATAACTTTATCCCGAAGGCTGATATAGATTATTATATTAAACCGCAGGGCTTGCAGACCGAGCCCATGCTGCCGCCGCATCTAGCCGATCATTTCCACAAGTTCATAATGCAAGTCAACATGAACCCTGTACGTGTGTGCATGAATTTACAGAGACTTCCCGCACTTCTGGAAAATGCAACAAAAGTAAGACACGATATATACGAGGATAAGTTGATAATAGAACAAAATTAATATATTTAATGCACTAAAATATTTCTTTTATACAAGAAGGAAACAAGTCCTATTTATATTCCCCTTGTTCTTTTTTTTAGGTACAAAAAGTATTAGAATCCATGCGCTATAAAGAAATGATGCGAGGCGCTGAGATAAATGAAGTGATGGCCTTCAAGTACCATTACCTGAGTTGCATTGTGGCCGAGGTGTTGAAAAGTCAGAAGCGTCAAGAAGCTATGAAGGCGGAGAAAGGCGAGAAGGGAAACGAGGAGGGCGAGGAAAAGAAGTCCGACACTGTGGAACTCTTGATACGAAGGTTCCTGAAGTGCAGCAAGAACGATAGCTTACCGGAGTATCAGGAGGCACTTTTGCGGGAATCCGTGAGAGAGTTCCCATTCAGGGAAAGCACAATTTTCCGTCAGATGGTCGCTACATTGGCCAGTACAGATCCGCCGTCCGCCGTTTCCGTCATCGCTGCTGCGATTAATGGGCAACGAGGCTTCTTCGATAACGCCCAGACTTGCGTGACCTGCGGCGAGGACAAAGCCACGAAAAAGTGTAGCAAATGCAAAGCGGTGCAATACTGCGACAGAGAATGTCAGAGATTGCACTGGTTCATGCACAAAAAGGCGTGCGCCAGATTGGGTCAGTCCCCGGCAAACAACGGAAAGCTCACGGATGCAGATAAAGAACAGATCAGCAATGCCGTCGGCTCCAGGCTACAAAACCTAACTGTTGAATAAATATGTAATGTGTACAGATTTAATGTTGGCAGGTCCAATTTTTTTGGAGTGCGTTATATCCGCGGATGTTTATCTTTTCCTGTATATAGCCGTTCTACTAGAATTGATGGATCTCCGTATGATTATGCCTATCATATCTGTGAAAGCTAACATTACGCCACTATTATTGTGTAAGTAAATATTATTGAAAATGTGTAAATTTTTGTTGTTTAGTCAATCACGCGTTTGTATCGATATTTCGTTCTTTCGAATTTTCAATCGTTAAGAAACCAACTTCAGCAAGGAGAAACTGAATCAAATTATAATAAGTTTTTAATTGTACAAAAATATTGAGTTTTTTTTTATTGCTATACGCGACTCTCTGAGCTGCCGGACTTTTGTGAACTGACTGACTTTTATATAGTTTCATACTTCCTTCTTGGACAATGAAATTGCCAAATATATTTATAAGTTACTATTATTCTTGATGTGTACGTGCACTCAGTTAAACATATTGTCAATATTTTAGAGCTATGTTCAACCTTCATTGTGATCTGTCGAAATAAAGCACATTTACTTACAAGCTTACAACCGATATAATGTGACAGTTGCATCATCTTTTCTAGTATATTGCCGTTAATTTATCGAGTGCTGCACGAACATTTACATTAATCAATAAATCATCTTCTGTTAATGTTGCTCTTGTCAACAAACATTAATAATAAAATTCGATCTGAAATGCCGGAATAAATTACATTTATCGAGATTACTGTTTCAATCACATTTAAAAAAACAGAATCTATATTATCACATAAATTTTATTTTATGTTAGACATCTTATATACATTTTGTTTTCACGTAATGTTGCTCTTGTCAATAAAATTATTAATAAAATTCAATCTGAAGTACCGAAATAAATTATATTTATCGAGATTACTCGTTACAATCACATTTAAAAAAAAACGGAATTTATATGTTATTACATAAATTTTATTTTATATCAGACATCTCAGACACATATTGCGATAGTACTTTGCTATCTACCGATAATGGAAAATTACGTGTTCACCACTTTCAAACGTACGCGTAAATATTTCCTTAAAAGCAATTTCTCAACGCAAACGATCGCGTCTTTTACGCCCAACTTCGACAATTTTTCCAATTTGTTCCAAGATTCAAATTCAATTGGCGGGACTTTCTCCCCGCGCTAAATCGCGCGGACATCTA